ATACATACATATATATATATAATACAAATATATAGTATTTGTGGTCGAGACTCTGTAGACTGTTGGGCCAGTAGACTCACGGTCACGAAACTCTTGCTTTGACGACACTGGTACGCACGAACAGCTTGCATCATCGTTCACTTGAACTAGCAATTTAAGCTACGGGAAGCATCGCATGTTCCTTAAACCCCAAACCCCTGACAACCTCAGGATGTTGCCAGTAGGCTGCGGCTTAAAGCCTTCAGTCAGCGGGTTCTGGGAACGAGGGTCCATGTACCTACCCAGTAGATGCATTGGCTTTTGAAGTTACTATAGGAACCCTTGGCATAGAATGCATCTAGGACCTATACAAAAAGTAAAGCCTCTAAACACCCTGATAGGCGCTTTCAAGAAACCCTTATGCACACACCGACTAAACACGCACGGAAGCCAAGATCCATTAAAGGAGCCCGTGCGAAAGGATGGCTATACTGGCCGAGTCTCGTCACACTCCACCATGCGCTGGTCCTCGATCTGCAACACGCACCTTGCGGCTAAGGCAGGTTTTGACGCTTGATTGGCGTCTATGTGTGATGATCTTGGTTCAAAACTTAGGGAATTTGGGGCGGATTTGGTCTCGGCGTGTTTGGAGGCTGTGTGCCTTCAGGGCTTGAGGCCAACAGCTTTCAGCCCTAAGGCCCTAAATCGTTCAACCCATCCACCCGGCCCCGAATGCAATGGATGGCCTGGCCAGCTCGTCTTTCAACGTCACAAGCTTGTCGACATCTGAGACCGTCCTTTCCATCTCGCCCTTGGTACCTCCGTGCATTCTTGTTCCAGGGTTTCGGGTTGAAGCCTCGGTGCAGAGAAGGACCGGGTACAGGCTTTGTACATCCTAGTGCAGTCTGCCCAATGCTGAGGAAGGGTGCCGAAGGGGGGTGGTGGTGGTGGTGGTGGTGAGGGTGGTGGTGGGGGTGGTGGTGGTGGTGGTGGTGGTGGTGGTGGTGGGGGTGGTGGAGGGGTATAGCGGTGGCGGGTGGCGGGGGTGGTGGGGGTGGCGGGGGTGGCGCGGGTGGTGGGGGTGGCGGGGTGGTGGTGGTGGCGGTGGTGGCGGCTGCCGCCGCTGCTGCTGCTGCTCCTCCTGCTTCTGCTGCTTACTGCTACATACCGCTACTACTGCTACTGCTACTGTGACCGCAACTGCGACTGCGACTGCGACTGCTCCTACTCCTTCTCCTGCTCGGACTGCTGTCTCCCCCCTCCCCCGATGCCTCCCACACCCAATCCCCCTACAGCTACTGCTACTGCCAGTTTACTTGTAGTGCTTCTGCTACTGCTGCTGCTGGCTTTGGGCTGATTGAGTCATGTCCATCGAAAATGAAGACCCTCACCCCAGCCTATGATCAGGTTCTGAAAATCAAAGCCCTAAAGCCGAAATCCTACGAATCGAGACCCGGAAGCCCGGAGAACAAAACCCGATAGCCCTAAACCCCAAGACCTTAACTAAACTCCAAAGCCCCAAATCTCACAGATCCAAAACCCGCATGCCTTCCGAGGAAGTGTTCACCATCTTCTTTTGGAGGCTTTGAAGATGAATATTCTTTTTCATGTCGTCTTTCGATGGATAGCGGTGTCCCTGTGCTTTTCCGTGGCAAACCTAGGTCCACGCTAAGGGGCTCAGAGGGGTTTGGACTTTAATTATGATTTAGGGCTCAGGCCTTGCAGCTGATAGAGGCTGGTAGGGTTTCGACTTTAGGCATTGTAGGGCTAGAGGGTTTAAAGAACGGCAAGAAGGTGCGGAGAGCAAAACCTAAAACGTCTCCGATGTAGAAACCAGAAGGGCTATCCTCAAGATCGAAAAATTAAAAAGGGAGCTGCAAATTCAGCAGCGCAGCCACTTCGGTCGTAGTGGCAGTGGCGACCTCCGATCCTTGACTGCAACCCATCCTTCCGATGAGTCTCGTGAGTGGCCTTTACTGTCTACGACAGGGACAAGGTCCTACGAGAGGCAAACGGAAGGCAAACCAGCTCTAGCAAAGCTTGGAGCCACTGTTGCGGTCGTTTGGCAACACAGAATGCTCACGTCTTCTGCTGCTGAGACGGGCATCAAGATGGGATTAAGATGATTAAGATACACGGAGGAACTCCAGAAGTGGGAGCCCAGCACCAAGCCGCCATCTGTAGGGCGAAGCCTATAGTAATCACCCCACAATGTCAAAGCCTGAACCCTGAGATTGAATCCCAGAAAGTTGGTCCTTTTTATAAGGGTGCCGTACTATACTGGGGACCTAAATGAGAACTACCCATGTCACGGAACTGGCCAGCAGTTAACATGCCGGCTACACGTTTCTGCTGCGACTGCCGCCGGCTCTCCTGTCTGCGACAGTCTCGGTTTTTTGGAGATTATGGATAGTTAGGTTAGGTTTTTCGGAGATTATGGATAGTTAGGTTAGGTTTTTTGGAGATTATGGATAGTTGAAGTTAGGTTTTTTTGGAGATTATGGATAGTTAGGTTAGGATGTACCTCATACCCTGCGCCAGGCTCTGAGAAGTTAATGGAGAAACTCCTGCAACACTAGAAGTACCCTGAACCAAAGGGACTAAGGTATACTTTTTACTATGAGCAACGTGGGAAGTCTGACCATTCGTAGGATTCCTGGCTTGACCGCCGCACTTGCTGCCGACCGACTTAACCCAAAATAGATGTCTGACCAACAAGGCTTGAGTTGGGGAGTTCTTTATACCATAAGCATGCGTAGGAAACCTGACGGAAAAATACTTCTTTCTTCTGCTTACAGAAACCTCTGTTGCTTTCTCAGCCTCAAAACCGTCGAGACTAGCGGCAGCCTGTCCTGCGCCACGACTCTAACCTTGGTCTACATCGCGGCATCGCGCTTAGGGATAAGGTTCACCTTCACCCTAACCCGAAACCCTAAACCCTAAACCCTAAACCCTAAGCCCTAAACCCTAAACCCAAACCCGAAACCCTAACTGTCACGATGTTTTGAGCTTGGGCCTTGGGGTTGCCAGCGCCCTCAGCCGCAAACCGCCTTCCAAGAGCAAGGGTCTCCGGGCTGCCTCACACCCAGAGAACCCAATACCCCTTAAATAAGGAATATACCTTAAATTATAGGGGCTTTAATATTATGATTTAAGGTATATTCCTTAATTAAGGGGTATTGGGCTCTCTGGGCAGACATCCATCAGCTGGAGTCCTATTGCATCCAAGATCGCAAATCCGATGCCGGAATTGCTACTATATTCTGAGCAGATGCCCAATGCTGTCTGGACCAGGAACACCAGGACCCCACGATGCCAGGGACCACCGCGACAGCCACCATGACCACAATGACCAAGAACAGAAGGATGCACGCAACCCACCAAAAGCACCAGGACCAGCAGGATCACCATCACACGCAGGGACCACGACGCTGCAGAATCGCCGCCCCCTGGTGAGATCAGCAGTCCACACAAAGGCGGCCCTGCAGGGACTTGAGGCACCTTTTGGATTCGGTGGCCCGTGGCAGGAGAACGACTTTGCAGATGGAGCCCGAGTGGCCGAAGGGTTGGCCTAGGCCTTTGGACATTTCGAGCATTGCGAAGGCAAATGAGGCCGATGAGTTGGAATAAATCGCGTGGCCGTGCACTGAATGAGACACGAGTTCAACATATGCGCCGCACCACATCGAGAGCTAATCCTAAATCCTGAAACCCCAAACATAGACTCTACAACCAAAACCCCAGCCCAAGCCCTGAAACTGGTACTGTAAGCGCGGGTCCTACGGAAAGGACACCGTGAAGGATATCCAAGTAGGTCTCCTTGCAGTCTTCGGTTTTCTTTTAGGGTTTCGGATTCAGAGATGTTCATGGCTTAGGGCTTCGGCTTCACGGAGTTTGAAGGGTTTAGGGTTTCGGTTTCAGGGTTTTTTGGCATCTTGACGGTTTAGGGTTTAGGGTTGTAGTTTTGGGGCCGGGCCCTTAGAACGCATTTATGAATGGGTCCCTCTGAAAGAACCATAAGGGGAAATTTTAACGTTTCCCAAAGTGCCACCTAGTAGTCGGACGGCGTGCCGTACACGCCCGTGGCTTTTTCTTCACTTTTCAGCTGTTGGACTCGGTTTGGACGATGTTTTCGCTCTTTCGGGGTTTTCGGATATTCTCTGCTTCTCCGGGAAGTTGGAAATTCGGCATTTTCCTTGTTTCAGCGGCTGGCCGTTTTCCGGTGTTACGGTCTTTCAAGGAGTCGACTTGCCTCACGTTGCTGCTGCCATGCTCCTGCTCTCTGCTACTCAGCTGCTACTCTTCATGGTGATGTTTGCATGGTGCTGCTTGCTGCCGGTAATTCTTGTTGTGGAGGGTTAGCTCCTTCCGAGAACGTAGTCACCATGGCAGACAAATTTGTTTCGTGGCTGGCCGTGGTGGTGGCCTGTGTCGTTTGGCTTGCTCACGCCGGCATTACTATATCCGAATCGAGCGATGGCGCTGATCGGCAATACACGATGGTGAACAAGTTGCGCAAGATTCGACAGTGACGCTGATAATGGTGTCAAAGTGACAGTGATGATAATGATGATGGCGATGATTAAAGATGACGATGATGATGGTGGTGGTGATGATGATGAGGCTGACGATTGTGACGGTGATGTTGTTGTCGTTGCGTGGCCAAAACTACTTCCAAGTTCTTAGCAGCCAAGCCCTCAAAAATAGTTCCTGAGCACTTTAATCACGTTAATCTAAACCCAAAGAGTCGCAAACTCCTTCTCGCCTTTCCTAGAGGAAGAGGGTCCTTCAGGTCATAATCTGAACCGCTTAACCCTAAACCGTGGACACATGACAGCCTCCAAGCCAAATTGCTCAGAGTGGTCCACGAAAATTCGCTCCTGCAAACAGCTTTAGCACGCCGGGGTCAAGGATTTCGGGATGGCCCGTGATATGTTTTGAAACCATCCCTGTCTCGGACTTTTCGAGTTGCATCAGGACCTCAGACATTCGCAGAAGATGTCTTGCTGCTGCTCCTTTTCCAAGCTGCTTGCGAGTGCCTCAAGCATCCTGTACTGGAGTAACCACGGTGATGACAACCATGAAACATGGTGCATGGAAATCAGGGCGCAAGGACATGTGCATGCCTGTGCGTATGTATGTATGTACGTATGTATGCATGTATGTATGTATGTATGTAAATTCCGTATGTTGTATGCCAGCAAAGCATGCATGTTTGCAAAGTACGTATGTATACACCTACATCTTGTATGTCAACCATGTAAACATGTAAGGAAGCCTGCTCTTCTTACGCAGTGCAGACTGCTCCCGTGGAGGAAACCTGAGCTCCATACAACAAGAGCTCGTCACTGCAGCCTCGATAGTTAGAAGAGGCTACCATCTCTACAGGTTTCCGGGATGTTGTGAAAGGCTTACGCTTACGTGCTAAAGCTTTAAGCAGAAAGTGTCGTCCTCCAGCCGAAGCAGTAAAGTTTGAAGCACCGCCGGAACACAGGCGGCAGCAACATGATGCCATCCTGCGCTAGCCAAGAGAATCGCCCTAGCAGAGGCGCTGCAGTCCGCAAGAATGTGTACTCAGGGCTTAACTTACTGCCTTCATGGATGCAAGCTGTTCGCCAGTTATGGCGCATATGGCCCGATTGTTGGGAGCTGTATGCTCTCTCCGCTGGTGAATGAATTTAAACGCCAGTGTGTGCCCGCATGTAATTATGTTCATCCCACTCTCTGTTTCTATACCTACTGACATCTCTCGCTCCCTCTAACTCTCTCTCGCTCCCTCTCTCTCTCTCTCTCGCTCTCTAGTTCGTCTGGATCGCATATTGCTGGACAGGAGGCTCGTCAGGGCTTTGGGCGGCTTTCAATTGCTTTCGGCTCAAACTGAGGGCTTGCAGATGGGGGTGTTTTAGGGCCTAGGGTCACTTTACGCACATTCTGATGTGTGCAGCGAAGTGTGAGTTCACTCCAAGCCCTATAATGCAAGAGATCTATTGGGGACTTGAGTGCTTTCGGGCTTGAGGTTGAGGAACATCATCTGATATAACGGTGTATCATATGATTATATGACCATATGATACAAGATTATACTACATCCTCCTATATGATATCATATTAAGGCTCTGCCATACTCTACTATTTCGGCAGCCCCCGGTGCCCCATCGTACGGCACTCTGAAAGGCCTCCAGAACTGGCCGCAGCTCGCAAGACCTGACGTCTAGGGTGTAGGATTGGGGACGTAGGCTTCGTGCAGTTGAGGGTGTAGGGAAAGATTGGCGCTGAATCTTATTATTATTATTATTGTTATTATTATTATTATTAGTATTATTATTATTCGTAGGTCCCAACATGTCGAGTCACTATTGTGTAAAGCCTACAGCCGGAACTGTCACACTGAAACCACATGATTGTGGCTGGGCCAGGAGCCCCCTTCCAACCTGAAACAGAAGTGGTGTCAGGCTCTTCCCACACCTCATCAAACCTTGAGCCTTGGACTTCGGACTTCGGAAGTGCGCGACATGGTGGTTCCCTCCCCCTCTATGTACTGTCTATCTTGTGAGACGCTAGGCCCCATCCCTCTATGTACTTTCTATCTTGTGAGACGCTTTTTCCCCAATCATACAAGCAAAACTGGTTCACATAACACGGGCTAAACGCGGTCTTCTCACCCAGGAACCCAATCTCGCCCCTGGGGCCCCACGCTCCAACACACGTCTGGCTGAAGAAGGGCCGAAAACCCTAAGCCTTAACGCTTTGGTAGCCCCAATCCCTACACCGTTTTCAATATCATATATATATATATGACATTTTATATAATATAAATAGATAAATGAATAAGCCAATAAATCAAAATCTAAAGAACGCAAAGCAGAACCTTGAAGCAGGGGTCACCATCGTCGACACGACAGCTTTCATGGCCAGCTGGCACTGCGTTCGCTGATCAGTTGGCCCTATGCTGGTGCCTTCCGCACGGTCTCCAACCAAAACGGACGAATGCACAAGCAATCGTCACTTGTGTCACATAACTGTGTCCATGAACCTGGACAGTGCAAGAAATTACCCAACAGATAGCTGACATCGCAGCGCTGTTTTAAATGGAAGTTGCAGATGTTCTCTATGCTCAGCAGACAGCGTCGGACTCCGATTCCGACGACTCAGTCATGCGGCCACCTGCGGCGTACCTCTTGATTGGGCTGTGGTAAGTCTCACCGTGAGTGTGCTCGTCAACACCGCCAAGCTCTTGGTCTTCTGGAATTCGAAGCTTGAATAGCATCTTCATGACTCCCATGATGATGGCAGTGCCCACGGCGGAGAAAGCCACGCCAGCCAGCGCACCAGCAATCTGCTTGCCCAACAGCACGAAGCTACCACTGTAGATGAGGCCTTCCTCAACTGCAAAGATGCCCGTCAAGATGGCACCGGCAAAGCCACCAGAGCCGTGCAAGCCGAAGGCGTCAAGAGTGTCATCCACCAAGTTGATCCTGTTCACAACCTCAACAGTGGCGTAACACCAAGGAGCGCCCAAGGCGCCAATGGCAATGCTCCAGCCAGGTGTCACGAAGCCGGCAGCGGGTGTGATGACCACCAGACCTGCAACGGCACCAACAGATGCACCCACACTGGTTGACTTGCCCTTCAGGACACGCTCAAGCGCCAGCCAGGTCAGCATGGAGGAAGCCGCAGCAACGAAAGTGGTGGCCACTGCACGAGCTGCCACTCCATCCGTGGTGGACAAAGCCGAGCCACCGTTGAATCCCAACCAGCCAAACCAAAGGAGGCAGCCACCCAAGATCACGAAGGGGGCATTGGCTGGGCCCAGGTCCTTCTCAACGTGCTTGCGTGGGCCAAGGATTGCACCGGCAACGAGGCCCGACACACCTGAGCTGATGTGGACCACGGTTCCACCTGCAAAGTCGAGGGCTCCCAGCTGGCCAATCCAGCCACCAGGTCCCCAAACCCAGTGGCACAAAGGTGCGTAGATCAGAAGGGACCAAAGGGCCAGCATGATGCAGTAAGCACTGAAGCGCACACGCTCCACCAAGGATCCGGAGATGATGGCACTAGCGATGATGGCGAACGTCATCTGGAACGAAGCGAAGACAAGACCTGGAAGCGTGTCCCAGTTCTTCATATCAAGATTCGTCCAGAAGCTGTAGTCAAAGTT